TAGTATGGCTCTGATCCTCCTGCTTTACTCAGCCCTGTCCAAAAGTGGGACCAGCCAAAAAAAAACACAGTGCTACAAGGACTCCTCAAGGACGCTGTCTCGTACCACTTTTCTTTGCGCAAGCAGACCGAGAACTTCAATGGTTTACAATAAGACGGGTTTAGTTTAACCAGATGGATGAGAGACATGCAATTCAAAGTGTACAGAAAATTATCTCACTTTAAGGATACAGTATGTAACTTTCTGGGGGTGTCATCTGCATGATTCCACAGAACCCCAAGTTAAAACCATATTTTAGATCATTATCCATGGAGGTAGATATGTTTTATGACTTACTGGGGAATACTATAGCCAAAGGAACAACATTTCCATGGAAAATGTTGTTCCATGACCAAAGAAGAGTCAGGTTTGTGGAGCTGCAAACCCACTCACAGTAAGAACAATATTTTTATACTAAAAACAAAAACGGGCTTATATTGTAGTCTATATTTTTAGCTTTCTCCCTGTGTCTGGGTGGGTTTCCTCCAGGCGCTCTTGTTTTTCCAGTCAATCCAAAATCACCAGAGCACCATAGGTAAAAATCCTTCAGCTAATGTTGTGACCATAGACTGGATAAGACTGTATAGGCTTCTAATTCCAAAGACTGTTTCCAATTGACTAGACATTGGAATATTGTCGACCCCTCTTTCTGTAACTGCTGCGGTGAGCCTCGTCATTTTGGTCTTAAAACGTTTGTATTAACCCACTCTGCATGATCTTGGTGTTTTTATTTCACTGTTTTGTATAGAAATTCCTATACAGAGGCTATAACTGTCCTTGTGAGCTTCATTTGACCGGAGCTGGACACGTCGCACTCACTTTATACATTCTGTGGTCCTGAACAAGACTAGCTCAAGATCTGGAAAGCGTGCAGGAGAATACTAGCCAGGCTGGCGCCACCTAGTGCCTCGACTCAGTTTCATTTCTCTCCATTGACTAGATCAGGAATTTGAATACACTAGATGGTTTGCAAGAACCTCGGAAGCTGTAGACCGCGCACCGGCCAATCAGGGAAGAGCTGAACCAACCCAAGTTTCGATAGCAGACTGCATACGCTGTTCTCCTTTGGACTTCCTTTGTCAAATACAAACTTCACATTTTTTATTGCACCTTTAATTTGCATGTTCATCTTGCAGAAGCAACAATGATTACTGACAAACATGTTCACTCGCTGCTTTGTTTGCTGTTGTGCCGTCAATTACTTGGACACCACTGAGCGTTCCGGCACATTACATACGTCACGTGCACCTGCCTACCTTCGGGGGAATGAATTCTAATGCTGCGAGGTCAGACAGTTTCCACAAAGACAAACCGACTGATGAATCAGGCTAGGAGAATATAGGGTTACTCAAACATGGAGAACACGCAACATTAAACAGAGCATTTACTTCATTTCTGTTAGTAAAATACCTGTCTCTGTTTAGCACTGTCTGTCTGTCTGTTTCTGAAATATGCTCTACAAATAAAGTGGATTGGACGCATCAATCACTCGAAATACAACCAAACTACTGATGAGAGAAACCCAGGTCCAAACCAGATCTAAACCAGGACTTTCTGATACAGTGAGGCCTATATATATACACTATAGTAATGTAGATTTCCTGTGTACAGCCCTGCTCCCTTGATTATGGTGCATTTTACCGCTGCAGGTTTTAACACGCCATGGAGGATTTAATGTCTGACAACTCAGCGCTTATTTTTATGAATGTGCTAAAGCCGAACTTAGCATTTCATTTAACTGTAAGTTGCCACACCGCTGTGATCTTATTCTGAAAATCCAGTAACCATTTTAAATACTCTTTATAAAATGCCCCATCTCCCCAGTAGAGTGTTTTGTTGCTGTTTTCACCTCTTTCTTATCAGATGAGCGCCCCCTGCATTCAGATTATAGCATTGTCCAAATATTCACTTGCCCAATACACTCCGGTATGCTCCCTTTGACTCCCTCCTACACTTGCTTTGCTTGTCTCCGTGGAGATGTTATTGCTTTGCTTGGAATGTTCCACAATATGGCAGTATCAGTATTACAGAGATATAACAATCTCCATGGGGACAGGCAGATGACGCAGCATTTTTCTTCTTCTTCTTTTTTTTTTTGCTACACTTTGAACTGAAGCAAGATAGAGAAGTTTAATGCCATATTGTGAAACATTCCAGGAACTTTCACTTACAATATTGATCTTGATACAAATAGTTTTGCTTAGAGACCTACATTGTGTATTGTTATTTTTCAACTTTGTACAACTTCTTGTTATCTCTGGTAGAAGATTTTGGTAGAAGAAACAATATCTTCCCCCAGAATCACGATTATGTAACTCAGATATTCTAGATCAGTTGTGTCCAAATGCGGCCCTCAGGCTTTCAGCTGAATATGCCCAGAGTAACAAAGCAGTGCTTTTTACAGCAATTTAATAAATTCCTGTACTTTTACAACTTCAATAACAAAGATAAAGATATAAACTTTCTAACTTTCCTGAATTAAAGGTGCACGGTGTAACAGGTCGAAGGTCCGTTATCTCCTCGTCTCCACAGCACTGCATTAAATGTATCTATCTCCATGGAGACAACAAAGTGACACCACCAAGCCAAGTTACACATCAGATCTGTGAAGAGGTTTGACCCTGCTAATGTTTTATTAAGCAACAGAAGCACCTGTAATTGAAAAAAATGCAAGAAAGATAAGTTGAATGCTACTGTGGAACATTTCAGGCAAAAAGTCTCCATGGAAAAAATAAGATGACACACCCACTAGAAAGTTACACAATGCACCTTAAAAGTTTGGAGGCACGATCGAACTTTTGCTAATTGTATATTTTCTTAATTATTAACTGTATGGAGCTCAACTTTCTCTGGCTGCAGAAATAAATTTTCCATTTATTTTTCCCACAGACTTTTCGAAAAACTCTGATTTCAAAGACATCGCAGTTGAAATAAGCCCAGAAAGCACATTTAAAACTCAAGTGGTCACCGTTGAGCTTCATCTGTTTATGGGTCCCTCTTCTAGACAAGGTAAGAATGCAATCTGGTCCAGAGGTGGCGCCAGACATTTTTGGTTGGGGGGTGCTCACGTAACATGTGAATTTAGAGCCTTTTATTGTTGCGAGCGAGCCCCCACCCCCGTACCATGTTTGCTTTGCTGTTTAAAGTTTAAATGCAGGCCTAGTAAGCTTCTGCAGTGATTTATAAACCCAAATATGAGTTCTTGTTTTATTGGAGTCTCATTTTAAACTGTTTTTGGTTGCCATTTGAACATTTTCAGTTAAGATTGAATACTCTAAAATCTTTGGCGGGGCTATGGGAGAGCATTCTGGGGGGGCTAGTTCCCTCTCAAGCCCCCTTCCTGGCACTGCCCCTGGTCTGGACTAATAAAGTTATTCAAAATTTGAAATTATAATATTTTAATTCAGGTAATTTAACTAGAAGGCTATGTGTAGCTATTACCCAATATATTCAACAACACAAACACAAAGTCCTTCTCTGCATGTTTATCTACCTTTAAACTTCAAAATAAGAGAGACACTCAGAGAAACGTGGTGATTTGTTCCCCCTAGGGTTGGTATTTTATTCATCAGGACTTGATGCATCCAAGTATAGGATCATTCGGTTTTGGCACCTTTAAAGATTTCATTTTTCAAATTTGAACAACACATTTAAAAATCAAAAACAAAGAAATGACTAAGGCTGTGTGAGTTCTTTCCCTTTCAAAATAAAAGCACATACATATATATTTATAAAGAAATACAACCCAACCGTTTAAAAAAAGCAGTTTTGTTCAAATGTCGATTGTTTGGTTTTTTGTCTCTTCCACAAAAGCATTAAAATGAACCAAATAAATAATAAATAAAAAACTATATTAAAGTTACACATGGAAACATTAATACTTTTGCGTCTTTGCTTTTTTTCCCCTTAATAATTATTAACTTAAGTTTCTCAAGAGCAGAGCTGCGGTAATTTTCTAGCATGCATTAAATTTCTGAAATCGTTGAGTCACTTATCTTCGTAACTATTTCATGTTGTATTTTTTGATTTTTGGAGAGTGACATCCTCTTCTTTTCCTTCTCTCCTCTGCTCCTTCCTTTTTGCGGATTTCTCAAAAAAAGTCGCTGGAAGTCCTTTATTGTCGAAAATGTGCGACCATTTTGGGTTTTTTTTTTTTTGCACCGTCTCCGGCCCAAACGATCCCAAAAGAAAGCGAACGAGGAAGAAGAAAAAGTTGAGAAGGTTTGAATTTTAAAAGAATAAATATTATTTCTACTGCTGCCTGCTGATTCTCGCCACCGTGGTACATAACCTTCAAACCAATACTAAAAGTTCGTTTGTTACCAACAGTTTAATTAACTTTTTTTTTTAGATTTTTTTGTAATTTTTTTTGCGTCTGTATCTCTTGATTATTAATAATTTATTTATAAAAGTAATACATATATATAGTACCTTTGTTCGAGATTACAGCTTGGGCTAATTCTTATTGAACACCCAGCTGTAACAATTCACAGTTTTAATGCAAAAAATCAATAGTAGTAATCAGAATAATTAACAATAAATAATTAGTGGCTATAAGTGGAGCTTGAATTACAGCTCCCGCCCAGAATATTCAGGCGAACAAAACGCTAACTCAAAAACAGCGTTGTTATGAAATCATGAAACTCTTCCTGTAGCCTATATAACCCGTAGCCCCTTTTTATAATGGGAAAAATACCATTATATTTTTAGATAGAAGACCTCCCAGTTAACGTACGTTTTAGTCCAACTTTCAAAGCTCTCTCGACAATGGTAAATGGATAGGTCATGCAGCTGAAACAAAAAACAACAAATGTCTATCTTTATAAACATGAAAATCCAACTCTTGCGTCTTCTCCTATGGCGTTTCCACAGGGGTTACTTGCATGGTTGTCTCCTTGGTTTTTGAAAGATTAAATATTTAACATTTTTTTCATATAGTCGGACCCCCTTTCTTCTTTCTTTCATACAGGCGTGGTGCGGCGGTTGGCTGTGTTGCTATGGCTGGAGTCTTTGATATCTTTCTGAATACAGTTGTGGACCTGGAGGAAGTTGGCGTGGTCTCGTTCGGAGTTGTAGGTGGCCGTGGGGGTGCCAGAGGACTTGAGTGTGTCTCGGGGCAGCGTGTACATGGAGATTTCGGTGGAGGGGAGCGCGCTGAAGCCTTTGAGACCCACCGGAGAGGCATCGCGCGAATGAGACGGGTCTGTGGAGCGCGACGAGGACCGGGACCGGCGTCTGTGAGGAGGACAGGAGGGAGAGAGGGTCAGGTTAGGGTTTGACAAGAGGAAGAATGGGAGCTACTGACACATTTATAATCTCTATATATTGTCCCAGTTGTGTTATATTTTTTAACAGATCATAAATATGTTGGCTGGTTGAGGTTGAAGTATGCTCTAAAGACCACAAAGGTGCTCCTTTTTCAGTTTTTTTTTTTTTACTTAAAGCAACGCTATGTAACTTTCTGAAGGTGGCACGTCACCTGCATTATTCCATAAAAACAGAAAGTTAAAACCATACTTTCAAAATAGATGAATTGTACACTAGAATGTGGAATATTAGAGTCAAATGAACATTTCTCTGGAGACAAGCAGAAGGAGGCCCTCCACGACAAATAAAAATCAGGTGTGTGGAGATTTTCCAATATTTTCCAGCAAGATATACGTAAGCATCCACATGCTTTTATTCTAATTTTTATCCAAAAGTTACTGGATCTGTTTAAGACAATATAGGCCTACGAAGAGGTATCCTGAATAAACAGGTTTACCCCGCTCCCACCAGTACAACGCCCCTGGATATATGCATTTTCAAATTTTGTGTGCTTTCAAAACTATTTTAATATTATCTTAAATTACAGACAATAAATTACACACTTGCAATTATACCATAATCCATACATGAATACTGGCTCCAGCCTCTAACTTAATACTGGAATAGTTACAACAACTGTGAATCAAGAATGTACCCCTAACCCAAGGGTGTAGCACCAAATTACAGACTGTATGTTTATATAATAAATATTTTCTCCCGAATAGCCCGCCTGTACCTGTAGCGATAGCGGTAGCTGGGGATGCGTGTGATGGCTGAGCCCTGGAGGTAGTCAGCGGCGCGGGCTCCTATCCGGAGCTGCCTGTGGCGGTCGATGAACATGTGCACGGCCAGAACCCCCACCATCTCCGCCATGATGAAGGACAGAGCCCCGAAGTAGAAGGACCAGCCGTAACTGTAGCTGTTCTTCTTGGAGTCGCTCTTGGAGGGGTCCCCCGCATTGGCTGATATGTACACGATGATCCCAATGATGTTACTGAGGCCTGGGACACGAGCACACACAGGGAGAGAAAACAGGTTTGCTTTAAAACGTTCCTCTCATCAAAGAGTAAATTCTGCTTTGCCCACATAAAGTACATCGTAAAGGCTAAATTTTGTAGTAAACGCAAACTACTACAGGCTCTCTTCAAAGAATATTTTATCTATTGCATTTTGTAAGAAAACCATGTTACTTGAGATAAAATACTGATATGGCGGTCCTTTGGTGGTCCACCCTGCTTCACCTTTCTGAAAATGCTATGAATTTAAATACTAGCAATGTCCTAACAGGATGGAAAGAACATCCTAATTTTATTTCACTTGAAACCCATGTATATTATAGACATGAGAGTGTATTAATGTGGTAATGTTCTCAGGATTGTGAAAATATAACACAACAACAACAACATATGCTGTGTCGAGATTTGAACCAGCTATTTTCCCTTTGGTTGATAAATGGTTAATCCACTGCACCACTGTTGCCCCATAAAACTCAACAGTAAAGTCACAAAAAAGAAAAGAATGACTTGACCTATACCAAAGAAATGGGGTCAACTTCAGAGTTTCTCAAAGTCTCACTGAGGCTGCGTTCACTGCACACACGCCACAGGAAACCTGGGACTATACTGGGACTAAACCAAGATCAAACCAGGACTAAACCAGGACTAGACCAGGACCAAACCAAGTATACATGAGGACTTTACAGGGATCAAACCAGCACTAATTTATATAATAATATTTCCTCTGATTGTAAAACATTTTATAAAAAAAATCCATACTAATAGCAATGTGCTTGTTGCTATAGAAATGTTATTGTGCTGCCCATAATGTTCCACACTCTTTCATTAACTCTCAAAAACAGGTGAGTAGGCCAAGTTCCAGTTTAGATCTGTGGAGAAGTGACCCCGCTCATAGTAAGAATTCATGTCTTGCAATAAAAAGCAATAAAAACACCTGTAATTGAAAAAATCCAAGATAGAAAAGTTTAATATTATACTTTGGAACATTAGGGAATTTCGACAAAGCAATAACATCTCCATGGAGACAAGCAGACAAAGATAAAAAGTTAACCCCTCAGTCTTTTTAGTTCTCATCTGCGAGTATATGAATTATGCGTGTAATCTTTAGTCGACACATTTGATACTTGTTGGTTTAGGAGCTGCTCTGATGAGAGGCAGAGACAGTGAAAGTGGGTATGTGTGTCAGGGACAGTGTATTTTTAGAGGGTCCCACTGGGTCTGTTTGAGCCTCGTAACGGGATCAAGATACGAGCACAGACCGAGAAGAACTCAGGAAAGTAGAAAAGAAACTAACTACTGCTACTGCAGATTGGAGAAATGTAACATTGGCCTGAAATAAGTAGTATTTGTTTTACATCAAATTTGTTTTACTTTAAACTATACACATTTGAGGGCCTTTACCTGAAAACAGAGCAGTGGGCAGACATAGGCTGAATCGATACTTTGCAGCTGATGTCATCAACTTTAACCGGGTGTGTGATGCTAACTGAAAGCACTACTCTGTTAGAAGATCTGTTACTCAAGTTAGACTAATCTGAGAATTATTTTGACAAAATCTGACCAGATAGAGCTGACTGACTACAACAGGTGAGCTGATTTGTGCTGTTCACAGGTCTCTCACAGTCACTCTCATTGGTGTTCTTGAAAACCAAACTCTTAAACAGGACCATGAACACTCATACTGATCACAAGTTCCTACAAATTTGCTATTTAAATCCATTTGTGTGTATATATATATATATATATTATATGTGTGTGTGTGTGTATGTATATATATATATATATATATAATATATATTATATATGTATATATATGTTGTGTTATGTATATATATTATATATATTATATATATATATATATATATATATATAATATATATATATATATATATATATATATATATATTATATATATATACATACACACACACACACACACAAAATATATATATATATATATGTTGTGTTTGCTGTGTGTGCATTGTGTCACCATGGTAACTGCTGAACATTCTACCAATAGAGATGCATGTAGAACACCCCTGAACGTGATGTCACTGCCAAGTATCAATATATACATCCCCAATTTCGGACTTCCGGTCATCACGCAATGCATACTGGGAAGGATCCTCCGAAAAAGTGAGCATCAAAGCGCCATGTTTGATTTCTCAGTGGGATTGTCAAAGCTGATCTTTTTTAGTCTTATGAACCATATCGCTTTGTTTCTGATTCTGATATTGTCATATTTTTGCAGTTATGGACTTTGCAAACTTCCAAAGTCCCCCTTTCTGCTGTTAGGACATCCAACAACCACACAATTGTATGTCCGAATCCCATAACTAAAATATGACAATATCAGACCCAGACACAAAAGTGATAAAAGACTTGAAAAGATGAGCTTTGACAATAGATGCATCCCACTGGAAAATCAAATATAGTGATTTGATGCTCACTTTTTTGGAGGGTCCTTCCCGGTATGTATTGCTCAATGACCAGAAGTCTGAAATTCGGGATGCATGTATAAATGTATGGACTCACAGAGCAACGGGTGGAGATAGGGGACAGGTGAAAACAGACATTTTCTGACCAGTCAAATGCAGGACAATACAGGAATGCTCAACATGCATGAATATAGCAAAATACAACTTTGAGTAAACCAATGATGAGGGAAGACTGTTACAACCTCGGTAAAAGTAGATTTTTGCATAATTTAAAACAATTTGTTAAATAAATAAACAAATAAAACCGAGTGAATGGAAACCCACTGTATGAAGAGGCAGGCCCTCTCAGTTCTGCAGCTTTGAACGTCAATGGTCCTGTTTCTACTTGGTGGTTCACAAACAACAAAATGTAAACAAATGAACTTTATCTTATAGTTAATACTAAGTCCCTGAAAACACTGCATTTTCTTTAAGTGTTATGTATTGTGTGTATTTGACTCACCCGCAGAGACAAAGAAGATGCCTGCGCTGAGGATGATGTTGTGGCGTGACTTGTAGAACTCACTGGCAGCTATACAGAGCCCCCCCATAAAGAGCAAGATCACACTGAGGATGGGGAAGATACTGGAGGCTCGGACGGCACCTGAACACAACACAGGGAAGGTAAAGTTAATGCAAATAATACACAGATACACAAACATCACGAAGAGTGTTATACTCCAGATCTGCTGGTGGTAACATAATGAAACCACAGCGGCCCTGGGGCAGACTGACTGAAATCAGGCCACTCAGAGAACCACCAACCACCAACAGGGATTGAACTATGGAAGCATTTTTTACAAGTATTACAGCTGCGATTAGATTTGAAATATATGTTTTTAAAAGTAGGATCTGATGAAAAAAAAAAGTGCAAATGAAAACACGTCCAGGAGCATTAACATTTGAGAGAAGACTGAAATCTGAACGGATAAACTAATACAAGAATCCCATGCATTTCAGAACCTACTGTAGTGTGTATATATATATATATATATATATATATATATATATATATACACACACACAGAGAGAGAGAGAGAGAGAGACAAGAGACAAGATATGTTCACATCAGAGAATACATTTGTCGTCTTTTTAAATCATAATTGCACCTATACTCAATTTGCTATTTCGATTCAATTGCCGTATTGTGCAACTTATTAAATAGCTTCATTCATCAGCTGGTTTCACTTCTTAGAAACCGTCTAACCTTGCAGTGTTAGAATTTGTTCGCTCAACGGTAGACTTTTTTTTATTTAACCAATCACTGTTATTTGGTCGTGACATATGTAATGCACCGCTAACGGGACTAACTTGTATATTAAGCTTTTCCCAAATCCTGTAGGAAGAAGGGCAATAACGTTTCCCCTTTTTCTTTCCCCTTGATAAAATCCTCGATCTCGGGAATCATTGACAACACAGAATGTATGATTCTTTGCTGATTGGCTGGTGCACGAACTCACACTTTCGGGGTTTTTGCGAACCATCTAGTGTATTCTGATTCCTGACCTAGTCACTGGAGAGAAATGAAATTAAGCGGAGACACTAGATGGCTACTTATTGAACCTCCTATGGACTGAACCTTCACTGTGAATTCTGGACCCTGTGAAAATAAAAATAGTTCCATGTATGTTTAAATGGCCCATATTACGCTATTTTCTGATCTATGTTATAATGTAGTTTCCTCATCACAAACAGACCTGGAATTGTGTTTTGTTTCATTTACACATGTTTAACACACAAACCCTCCAGATTTCTCTTCTCTTAAACAGAAAATACTTTGTTCCACCTTGTGATGTCATGTGGTAACACAGGAAGTGCTCCATACACCTTCACTAGAAACATTTGGACAATTTCAGCTGTGAAATTTTTAATCTCTGTTACACAAAAGATCAAATGTAGTTGTTAAATAGAAAACTATCGCTTCATGACGTCACAAGGCGGAACAGTTTGAACTTTGGAGATCTAGACAGACTAATAAACCAGGATCACTCAAAACTCTACGTATATTCTTGAGGAGATTATGGCATTTATAACATGACTAAAAGCTCACAAGAGTTTAAATAATAATAATACAACATTACAACATGGTTAAAAGTTTCCAAAAAGTTAATCTAGTGAGCTGTACAAACCTTTAATAAAATATAAACCACAATGCATTAAAATAATATCTTCTGTTGCTTCCTTGTGCTCTGTCTCTTCTCCAAAACCCCACATTAAAATCCCTTATCAGCTTTGCTCTCTGTTCCTAATCAACACCCAGGCGTTGTGTGAAAGACTCCATCAACACTAGCTCCAGAGAGTGGCCGCGCTGTGAGGCTGTGTTACCCAGACTTATGTAACCGCGGCTGGGCTTCGCTCCGGCGCCGCTCCCCTCCCCCACCTCCAGCCTCCATCTCTGCGCTCACATGTTCCAGCCCTCCCCGAGCACAAGAGACAACCAGTGATCTGCACAGTCATGTAAAAACACCACAGATACATGAAGAAGGGAGAGGGGGATGGTACAGGAGAGGCTATAGGGGGTTTGAGTTGGTTTTACTACAGTATTTAAAAACTGGAAATACTTTGACACTATATTGCCAGTCTAAATTTCACTTTCTGTATCGCAAATGTGTTTTTAAATCTACATTAATACACATTTTCTGAATAGGCAATTAAAGGAACTGTGTACGATTTAAAATTCCATGAACATGATTTAACTGTTTCCCCAGATACAAGGTCAAAATCAAGTTCAAATCAAATATTGCATTTACTGATAAAAAATTGTGATGCTGATTTATTCTTAGTTATAGAAACATTAAACATGGTCCTATTTATTTGTGTTATAATTGGGTACTTTGGTTCAAAAGATGATTATCCAGTCAGAAAGCAGAATGAGCCTCACATGCGTCGCTCTCATTTGGGTTGCCAGTTTTGATACTAAAATGCCTCTCTTTGATCTGAATGGTGACTGCGTAACCTCCAGCAAATACAGCCAGTCATGAATCAGTGCTAGTGCAGCCTATGCAGCTCAATGAGGGAATTCTGGAGGTTCTGAGATTTGACATGAGGCAGTCTGTCCATATATTGAGAAACACTAGAATCTATCTGCAGATTAAAGCTCTGACAATACAGGGTCAGTTGTGATTGTAATATGTTTTTAAGTGCGCAGGCTACATACACTGTGGCTGGTGACACCTTGTGCCTCTGCTCAATTTAATTTCTCTCCAGCAACTAAATCAGGAATCAGAATACATTTTGCATGCTTTTTTTTTTTTTTTTTTTGGGTCAGGACTAAACCAGGTCTAAACCAGGACTAATCTTGGACTTAAGAGAGAGAACGCCGAGCAGTTTGTCCGCAAAGCGCGATCGGGCAATTGCCGCGTTTACCTCCGTGAGGTGCGGAGCTGAGCCGGTCCTTTCTCCTGTGGTCACCTCCAAGCCCGTCCCGACGGTGAGTCCTGTTTCAGTTCTGGTTTAGTCCTGGTTTAGTCCTGCTTTAGTCCTAGTTCAGTTGTGGATTAGTCCTCGTCTACAGTCCTGGAATCAGTCCTGGGTTAGTCCTGGTTTAGTCTTGGTTCAGTCTGTGGCGTAGGCAGCGCAAAAGTTTGATATAATCTTGGGTTAACGGGCAGGTGCGATCCTGTACTGTGCGGGTGCGGTGTTGTACTGGGGGTCTCCAAAAATGGACACCTGTTGGGCTCCATTACGAAATAAATGAATCTTCAGTTCGTTACATAAAGAAGGAGGAAAATAACACAAGGACGGCAGCAGCAATAAGTTTTAAGAAGGAAGTAAAAAGGGTTGCTCCTGTCCTGTCTGAGAAAAGTGTATAAAGTTTGTGCTGAGGGGTTTTACAGCCTTAAAACAGATAGAATAATTGTAAAATATACAGTTGACTACTTCACGGATTTCACCTATCACGGGTTATTTTTAGAATGTAACACCTGCGATAAACGAGGGACACTGTACTCTCACCTCCCACCCTGTGCACATAGACTCACACTTGTCCCGACCGGGACGGAAAACGGAGAATTTCTTGTACAAGTCATTGTTAAATGCGCATTTGTGCTTCGGTACGTTGGAGACTGACCGACTGTTTGTGTCTCGCTCCTTCTGAGTCACAGACGCTACAAGAGACGCTCAGTTTAATGCCCCCAGTGAACGGTACTGAAAACCCGGACATTTGCATCACTTTATAAAAAAAAACCCGGACGCCCCGGACAGGACGTAAAATACGGACATGTCCGGGGAAAAATTGACGTTTGGTCACCCAACTAGACAGTTCCAGGTCTGAAATTATCCAGATGGTTCTAGTGAATGTGTAGGTCGTTTAAAAGTACAATGGCGCACTTCCTGTATTAGCACATGACATCACATGTTGGAACAGAGCATTTTCTGTTTGAGAGAAGAATGCAGCCTAAATATTGTGACGAAGAAACAATGTAACATAGATCAGAAAATACTGCACTATGGGCCCTTTAAGTTATTGATATACAAAATGAACCTACATAAATAGACCTCAGACAAAACTGAAATAAGAAATAGATCAAGTATGACAATAGTTTCTCAACAACAATTTGACAAGTAAAATTTCTGTATAAAAATGTCTCCACTGTTCAGACAATCAGGGATAAACCAGGTCAAAGTAATCATAACTAAACCAGGGCAAAAACAGAATTAAAATTACGTTTTGACAATCTCCAAATGAGTGTAGCACATTAGCATGAATGGATTCACATTTCCTCGTGACATTCTGCTACACTGTAATTTGCTCCATAATTTTACCAAAGTAGGTCAGCGTTTAGTGAACAAACAAAACAATGGGGTCCGTTACACTTTTAGAGACGCAACACGATCTCCATTTTTAGAAATTAAGTATTTATGCTACAAACTCCAGTGTGAGGATTTCTCGAGTGCTTTGGGTTAACAGTAATTAAAGGGCCCATATTATGCTCTTTTCTGATCCATGTTATAATGTTCTTGTTTCATCACAAACAGACCTGGAGTTGTGTTTTGTTTCATTCACTTTTGTTTCATTATTTAGTCTTTTTTCTTCTCTCAAACAGAAAACTCTCCGTTCCACCTTGTGATGTCATGATGTGGTAATACAGGAAGTGCTCCAATGTGTTTTTAAACTCCATACATCTTCACTAGAAACATTTCATTTCAATCTATAGAGAACTAAAGGTAAAAAGTAGCCGTTAACTTGAAAACTACTACTACATGACATCGCAAGGTGGAACAGCGCATTATGAGCTTTGGGGATGTAGACAGATAATAAAAAGAATTACTCAAACATGTGTGAATGAAACAAAACACAACTCAACTCCAGGTCTGTTTTTGATGGAAAAACAACATTTTAACGTACCATAAGCTCACAAGAGTCAAGTTTGCATAACCAAATGCCATATTGCAGATATTCCCAATCATTACTTGCGATGCAGTTGTTTGATGTAGTCATGGAAACACATTACAGAAAAATAATACAATAATCCCAGTAAAAGATTGCAATAATCCTAAACATGCTATAGATATTAATATGCTAATATGCTCACGTCTTCATATTACATCTGATACATAACTTTATATTTATTTACAGCGCACCTGTTCATATATGTCTTTTGC